GGGAGTTGTAAAGGATTGAAAATAGTTATCTGTTCGGATAAATAGAGTTCGTATTGAAAGGCCTTCCAAGTCGATTTAACGAACTCATTCGTTACTTATTCCTAACATCAGCCAACTAATTATCTCAATTTTCATCTCCTAGGTGACAGACTGGGTTTTCCACATCCTGTGGATTTGCCGACTCTAAACAATTCGAGCTGCGGTGGCGTCAGCTCCTTCTCACAAGCAAACATTTCATCCATGTGCCCTAGCAATAATGTTACCAGCAACGGCCTCGGTCACCTAAACAACAACAACAACAACAACAACAACAATAATAATAATAATAATAATAATAATAATAACAACAACAACGGCAACGCCAACGGAAACAATCACAACAACAGCAACAGCAGCGGCAGCGGCAACCATCAAAACAACAACAATAACAATAATCAGAATAGCAACAATAACAGCAACGGCAGCCATCATCATCATAATCATCATCATCATCATCATCAGAATAATAATAATCATCATTATAATCATCATAGTGCCCAGCAGCACTCGCTTCTGCACAGTAGCGGTAGTGGCTCGGAGCGGTGCTCGAGTTCAGGCGGCGTCTCGTCCCTCGATTCCTGTGAATCCCGGCCGCAGCGAGCCTTGATCCCGCCGCCGACCCTCGCCAGCGACGACAGCAATCACAGCAGCCACTCGCAGGGCAGCAGCGGTCTGCTCGTCTCCAGCTCGAACTCGGTCCAGCCGGACGTCCAGCAGAGGCCACCGGCCAACTACAAGTTCAAAAATTCGATTAAGCAGAGGTTCTCCGCCGACCAAAGGATAAAGACCTCGTCTTCGCCGACAGCCTCCTCGAGTGGAAGCAGCTCCGAGGCCTCGCCCAAACATTGTCAACATCACAATCACCAGGGCATACCGATATTCGCGCTCCACGACAACGGCGGTTTCTACATACCCCTGACCGTCGAGGCCGCCCTGCTCAGGCCGCACCTAGGTTATACGACGTCGGATTTGGGGCCGGACACTGTGCTGCATCCCGTCACGATATCCGTCAATTTCAATCATTCGACGCCACCGGCGTGGTCACATCAGAGTCCGACCCATCACATACAGTAGTACGAGTCGAGCAGCGATCGGCCGCACAATGAAGGACATTTATGTTGATTGCGACGTGATTCCGTTGTTATACCGGATGTACAGATGATGACGGCACGGGAGGGCAACGATTGACGATTTTATTGCACTCGTTATAGTATTCTGTGCCCGCACGTACAACATACAACACCGCGTATCAAACAACGCTTTTTATGTTAAGGACAAGGAAGAATGCTCACGAAGCCTGAAATTTACGATTATGAGAATTAACTGTGTTTTGTTGATGCATGCAATATTTATATTTACATTTTCATTCGCACGAATTGGAAATATCGCGCACGTGCCAATTTGTTTACGCTCATTTCTCTCTCCTTCTCTTCAAATCACACTCTGCCGACTCGTGTATACTGGACTCATTTTTATTATTGTGAAAGCGCATGAACATTTTCAATCGCAACACTTACATTTCTTTGCACAATAATTTTATATTTTTAAAGGAATTCTTTTAACGTGTCGTTAAAATTTCACTCTTTGATAATTTTTTATTTCATACGCGAGAGGATTTAATCAAAATTCGTCAAAATTCGTCAAAATTCGTCAAAATTCGTCAAAATTCGTCAAAATTCATCAAAATTCGTCAAAAATTCATCAAAATTCATCGAAATTCATCAAAATTAAGAAATGTATGAGCGAATGATTTTCAATGCTTTGTTGGGCGTAATCAAGAGGTAAAGGATATTGTATGTAAATATATTGGAATTTTTAAAGTTTTTGTCTCATCTTCGTATCATCTAATAGAATGAAATATCTTGTTTGATATTGAAGTTATCAATGCGACAGGAAAATTTTGCGTAAAATGTTTTATAATGTTGTATATAAAATAAATATAAAAGATTTTATTTAGAACTGAAATGAGTTGTTCAAAATTTTCATCTTCATATTATTTTGACAAATAAAAGTTATATAATTGTTGTATTGCCCGAAGGTCAATGCACAGGTGTGTGAATAAATCCCCTTAAGTAACACGTAAATCCCGTTCCAATTGCATAAACGCGAGCTCTCAAATTTTTGTTTTTTCTTTAGAATCCATAGACAAGCGTATAAACAAATACATATATACGCTATAAATACCATAAACGATTACTTTTTTTTTTCTTTTTTATGTTCTATTTTTGCCTTTACTCGGCAATACGCAACATGCTCTTAACACTTACAAAACGCAATTTAAGCGACAAGAATAGAATTGTACAATTGTTAATTTGCATGGTTGGAAAGTTTGCAACTAAATTGAAAACACTAACGACTGTTATATTGATTGAACAGTGATAATTCTTACACGACATTTATAATGGACGAATATTGTTAAAGTATTGAAATAGCTGATAATTAATTTTTATCGCATTTGTTATTACATAATGGCTTTATAAATGTTGATGACTTTTTAATATAACGATAAAATTAAGGAGTTTAATACAATTGAGTGTAAAAATTTGTCGCACGAATTGTAAAAATCAACTTTAATATTGATAATAAAATTATATAGGATGTTTATTTTAATTTAAAAATTGAGGATAAAATTTAAGCATCGGAATACATTATTCACAAAACCTCTATTTATCTAATATTATATTATTTATGAAAGTAACAATTCAAAATTATACATAGATATGCTTGTTGAATCGTTAAATATAAATTATTTTCAACTGTGTAAATTTGTGATATTGATATTAGATTCGATGACAAAGTAATGAAAATACGAAATATATCTTATCAAGAGGAGGGCATATTAAACAAACATATTTTCCAAATGCATAAACTTTATTGGTATTATTAAAATACGATTCAGTTTGAGGGAAAAATATACGGTTCTTCAATAAATTTCGATTTCATGTAAGATACTGAAATATATATTTGTTGTTAATCCTGATGCGCAATAATTATGAAAGAAGTAAGGATCAATATAAGGATGAGGAGTAAAAAACAAAAGAAAAAAAGAGGAAAACATGATGTAAAAAAAGAAAAAAGTGATGTGAAGACCGAAAGCTGCAATGTTTGGTAAATGAAGCTGCGTCTATTACAAGACTGAGGAAGATCCTTATTAAATTTGAATGAAACTCATACTTTTTTTTTTGTTTTGTTTTTTTTTTTTATTTTTTTTTCATGTCACCACGCACTGCATTACTATTCTTTGTATATATTCGCGATTATTTGTCGACAAATAATTGAGAGTTAAGATTGCGCGAATGAATAAATTGTATATATTTGTATATATACGTAATTATATGAGTATGTATATATATGTATATATATATATATATATATATATATATATATATACATTTATGTATATATGTGTGTGTCGTGTGCACGCGCGTACCCTTGTGTTTTTCCAGGCATGTAATTACATGTTCAAACACTCGCGCACACACGCGCATGTATGTATGCATGTATATATATATATATATATATATATATATATATATATATATATATAAGCACGTAAGAATGTATGTAAGCAAACAAACGCATATGCCTATAAATATTTAAATCTCATGCACATAAACGTGCATATATACGTACGTACTTACGTATGCATATATATTTTCAGTTTAACTATTTATCTTATTTTTATATCTTATGAAGAATTTTTATGCAAATTATATTCTATAAAAATCTGACAAATTTATCAATATGTTCTAAGCTTCAAATTACAGATGGATATTATTTGTTATATGTTATAGTGGCAAAAAGAAGGACACATAATTATTGCACCTTATAGCAGGTTTATAAATGAATGTACACGAAGAAATGAAAAGAAATTTTTCGAATCAATTCAGTTTGCTAATACATATATATTTCCGATAAAACTATACTATAAGTGTTTTTAATATGTCTATTGCATTATTTGTAATTCGATTTTCTTATTTTTTGTAATAATCGCTGTTTATTAAAATTTAAACATTAAATGACAACGACAGATAAATTCCAAAAGTATGTAATTTTTCATAACAATACCTGGAAGTAAAGTTGTATTTTTTATTTTTATAAATGTACATTAGATAGACTTTCTAATTCATTTAAGTATAATTTTGAAATGCTCTCAATAATATTCAATAATGGCGATGAAATTTCATATATTAAAAGCAACTATAATTAATAAACAGTAGTCACAAAATTAATTAATGATTTACAAATTTGTGTAAAAATATTTTCTAAACACTGATATTTGAAATACTTCATAGTTATCTTATTATTAATTAATTCTGTATTAATTGATTTATAGTCAAGAGTTAACACAAAAAGTTATCACGCGTGATGTTCCTTTAATATTCTCGTTTTATTTATAAAATAAAAGTATCGCTGACTTTTATTGAAATGTTGAATAATTTGAGAAAAATTTATTTTAATCTTTGACTTCCTCTCCTATGTATTTTTCTCTATATATTCTGTATATATTGTATCGATAAAATACCTATTTTATCAAGGAATTTATAACATAGCACATCAGTTTATTAAATGCTTCAAATAATAATTTTACCAGATATTACGTTTTGATATTTTGTATAGTTTAATATAATCTTGATATACTTTCAATATTATAATAGTCAAATAATATATTTAATTTTACTATTCAAAAGATAATACTCATCAATTAAGCATAATATTAATCATTAAAAATATGTATTGATAAATAGAATTTTATTTGTAAATAGAATGCAGTAAAGTTTAATTTATCACATATTTTCGCACATTGTTTTATATAATTTATTATTATTTTTATAGAAATGCACGATGACTTTTCGTATAAATTACATTCTTTTATCATATCTGCGCTTAGTTACGACTTTAGAATTCATTTGATCCAGGACAGTAAATGTGTAAATTAAGTTTTATTATTTATTATAAATTAATGTCTAAATTTTGTCATAAACAAAAAGACGATTACATTCTTCTTTGAAATATTTTTTATTAATTGTTTGAATCTATCACCATTTAGTCATGTAAGCTTTTCAATACTTTCGAACATTTATATTATAATACTCGTATTCAAAACTGCCTTACTGATATATGTATATGCATATATCTATATATTGGCAAAATTTATTAAAAGAGGCTCATTATATTTGTGTAGGTCTTTTTCAATAATAAATAATGTGTAAGCAGAATCTTTTTTATATTCTTAGAATAAATATTTAGAACTGTGTTTTATACAAAACAATACCAATAGTACAAAAAAGTAAATAATAAGAATTAATTATAATAGGATATACAAGAAATTGACACCTTGAAACAATGGATAAAAATTGTTTTAATTCATAGAAAAAAATGTTGGTTGGAATGTAATTTAGAATAAAAAATTTGTAAGAACTTTATAAGTTAGTTAGAAATCAAGCTTTTAAATAATATTTTTCATATTTTTTCATTTTTCATATTTAAATTCATTAATTTATGAATTTTTTTCCTCGAAGCATTACATTTGTATTATAAATTATTAGAATATTGTTCGAGACTGCGAGAACATTTTCCTTGCCACAAAATACCGACGGTCGTTGGAGTCTCGAGAAGGTCAGTACATTTGGAAAACACTCGTCTAATAATTATTTTATTTATTCACGCATTTCAAACGCGCTCACGGGGTTTCCGTTGCGGTGAAAACGATCTTGTTGTTTACTGCCAAGAAAGCGGCGACTCTGAAAGAGTGATTCTGAAAGATGTACGTACTATCGAGTGTAAAAATATTTCCAAAATATTCATTGCAACCTAAAACCCTGCACGTGCGCACATCGGGCAATCCTCGGCACACGTGCGTACATCGAGGTCACGAGACAATGCATACATTGTTGTCAAGTACGCCGAATATTGCCTCTCTCATGAGCTGAGCGACGACGGACCAAAAAACTCCCCCCCCCCCCCCCCGCCCACGTTCCTAAGCCCAAGAGAGGGGTGAGCGTAGCAATTGTAAAACACATTTTCGGTCTTATTATCGGCAAAGCCTAAATTCTTCGGAAGTGGGAAAAAAAAAAAAAAATAGGTGTGGCATGCTCACTTATGCTGTACAATAAACCGCGTTCTGATTAGACAGAAAGACGGGAATGAGATCCAAGTGATAGTGAAAACTATTGTCAGTAATGTATTTAAGAGAGACAACATCGAGATTTAATTACTCTCGATAAAGTTCTCCTTATTCAAATGGTAAGTGGAAAGTCCCTTAAACGTACTTCAAAGACAACTTTCGTTACAAGTGTTAAGGGACAGGAGACGTATAAAATTCCCTTATCGGAGTCCGAATACAAGTGCCAGTTGAAGTCCTTAGATTCAGAGTTTAAAGTCATTATCGATCATCCATAATGAATTGATTGAGGCCCTCTGAGAGGAGAGCTCACTGTGCGGAATAACACATAACGCATTTGTCGCAAAGTCTTCGAGTTAGTTGCGCATTCCTTGCCAACCTACTCCCATCTTAGCTCGAGTCCGGCGCTTACGAATTTACTTATCGCGTCATTGACTGTTTATTAGCAGACGCAACATGTAGGAATTTCTCTCGCGAGGTACGAACTCTACAGACTCTTACTTCCATCTGAATTTAGTGCAGTACGATTCAAGTTGATCTCCAAGTAACACCAATTACTCGTGTCGCTCTCCATAACAATCATAACCTCAGTTACGCACGTGCACATTCAAACAGCGCGAGTGTCAGCGAATTGAACTTCGCGCCATTCTGCGCTCACATTCGAACCATCACGCTGCAATTAGATGAGTGCGTACGTTTGCCACATCAAGAGTTCAACAATTGTTAATAGTAATACTAGTCAACACCCTCTAATCGAATAAATAACAGAATAAACAGCATATACATCAGCCATATTGTATTATTTATATTGTATTATTATAATATCCCTTTCACTTGTGACCTTTCATCCCTACCACACAACATCCCGTGATCTCGTCCGAGTTGTCAACGGCAACAATTTGTATCGGTCGCACCGGACTTGGTAAAACGAGCCAGAGCGGCGAATACATTTTGTACTAATGTTATATTGCATATTCTCACGACAATTAATAATTTTTAGCGTATTTTAGAAGAGGATAGTTTAATTGTCACATTATAATTTTTTTGTTTTGTTTTTGTTTTTCTTTTTTGATTATTTAATTTATACAATCGTCAAAATTTATTGATTAAAAAAAGTTTTATATATATTATTTCATTGATGTATAGATGCTTTAAAACTTTCTTTAAAAATATTAATTTTTTTAAATCATTACCTTCTTTATCTTCTTTATATCTTGAGATGTTTTGCAATCATTTGAAAATGTAAGGATTCCAGCACTCAAAGTATTTTATAAGTACTTATTAACAGTGCCACCCACGTGTATTTTATTACATTTTCTACTGTACATTATTATTTTATTGAATGTAGTATTTACATATGCGCAATAGCGCGTCCAAAATTACTATTTGAGCTGCAGAAAAAAAGTTAAAATGTAATTTACTTTAATCCAAGTGGTTAAGGAATTATTGCTTTTTTATATTACATTCGTACTTTGTAAAACTCAGGATACGTTGAATTATTAAACACAAAACACGTAATTGAAAATTCTAGTTTATTATTCTTATTCCGATACTGTTAATAATATTTATTTATTTTGTCTCGTAGCAATTTAAGAATTATTTTCTAAATTTTTAAATCGCTGTGTTAATATCTTTGCTGACAATTATTTGTTTTTAAAATTATAGATCGAAATAAAACACCTATTTCTCTCTGTCTCTCTATTAAAAACTTATTCATAAATATATTGCCATATATTTTGTATTATATATTTCTCTCTCTTAATACAAATGGAAATAAATTTGAAGAGCATGAAATATTCAAAATAGAAGTTTGCATATCAATTAGTAATTTGAATTTCTTTTTATAATGCAGGTGCGATCTCTATGTAGATAAACTGCATTTCTTCCTATGTAAAGATTGCATCTACCTAAGTGTACCATTTTTCTATGAAAGAACAATTCAGATTTTCATCATTACGCGTTGAGAAAGTTGAAGATGCTTTTTTAGCTTTGCAAGCAGATCCGATCAAAGCATCGCGACGTATAAAATTGTCAGATTGGCCGATCGTCGATTCGCCGATCGAAAAGGTGCCAACGCACAATCGATCTCCCTGCACAAACACTTTGGCACGAGGCGATTTCAATGGCCCACAATGTCTTGGCATCAGTGTGGCATGCGTGGCATATGCGTGAACCGAATATAAAGTTTTGATATCGTTGACGTCGGCAACGGCTTCCGTCAAAATTATAAAATCGATAAAAAAAGCAATAAGGTACAATTACATCGGATATTTTGTATGGACTTATATCGAATTTATGAAAAATCTTCTTCCAGCATAAAATAAAAAGATCGAGATTCGAGAATAAATAATGCATCGATAGAATCGCAAAGATTAATATAAAAACAAATATCCTTTTAAAGCTTGCGTCCGTTATTCCAATGGCCGGTGCTACATTGATTCGTTTAATCCACACTTCCTCTCTCTCTCTCTCTCTCTCTCTCTCATCTTTCCTTTCTTCCCTCCTCTCTCTCGCTCTCTCTCTCTCTCTCTCGCTCTCTCTCTCTCTCTCTCTCTCTCTCTCTCTCTCTCTTTCTATCCCGTACATTTCAGATAATAATTCTGATAATATTTACGCAGATAATATCCAAACGAACTGCGTTCCTACGCACACGTAAATATCATTGAATATTCGTTTACGATTACGTATATATGTCATGCAATGCTAGACGATGTCATCGTTTGCGATATGCAATAAGAAAAGGACAGCGGTGCTTGCAAGCTTCCAATGCAATTTGCCGGGAATCAATAACATCGCACGTTGATCTTCATTGAGTTGGTAAACCTCTACAATCTTCAACCTTCAAATCAATTTTCCGACCTTTTGGTACGGGAATTGAGAAACTTACGGAATCGTGGGCGGAAGTAGCGACCAACCGACGACGAGGACTCCTCGGCTCGCCAGTGATGAGATAACAATAAAGTCGACGGGATACGTGGTGCAAGACAATTCCTATGCTTATTACTTTAATCTCACTTGCTCTCTAGTTCTTTCTCTCGTTGCTGGACAGTGACACCGCTACTATGGCCTCGGGGATGTCGGAAATGCGCCTACTATCACGTCATTAATATGGCCAACATCTCTCATTCGCCTTTGGCGCTTTGAACTTAGAGGTGACTCGATTGCGAAGTTTAATACGAATGAGCCGGCCACATTATCTTAATTATTCATTAGAGTCAGTAATTTTTAATTATTATATAGAAATATGTACATAGATATAATTTATTCCTTTACGCGTTGGTCGATACATATATTCATATTTCATATTATCATTTTCATTATTTCTTCTATAAACAATTAATACAATATCTCTTTATATATGTACAATTTGTCCTGTAGTATTTTTTTATATATAAAAAATTTCCATAATTTATTTGACATAATGCTTTGACAAAAGTATTCACGGCTTAAACTATGATAAAGCTTAACTTATTATAAAGTATTATTATATCATTTATGACATTACAATAAATGCATATTGCATTAACAAAATCGATCTTAAATAAAATTACAATTTTCATTTTCATTTAAATAAAAATAAAATAATTTTCTAACGCCCTTTTAGTTATTATTAAATCATTAATTAAAATACGTACGAGCAATAACGATTTATGTTGTAATAAATCTACATAACAAGTTAAAGTTTCATAAAAATACTTGAACTTTTGTAGTTTATAATACAAATTATTAATAATTAAGAGATCCAGATTAAAAAAAGTTCATTTTAATTTTAGTTGCAATATAACGAGTTCTATTATATTACGTAAATAATCATAATAAACAAAAGTAGTGATATTTTCTTAGTAAAATTTTAAGATTTTGATTTGAATTAGTACTTGGAATAAGGATATTTACATTAAAGCTACGTAAATACAAATTATAATAGTACATTCGCAATATTTGTGAAAATAAGTTATAAATTTTTTAGTTTTTTTTTTTTTTTTTATGTAAAAAAATCTACAATTCAACGTGTAATATTCATTTTAAAATATTTTATTTAAAATAGAAGGCAAATTGAATTTAACTATCATTAGTAAAGTGAAACTGTATAAAATGGATATCAAATTGAATTAGATATTACAATAATTATAATATAGACGAGTATTAAATATAAATATTACATCACTTTTCATTCATGTAAAGTAATAGATGAACTAAAATACTCATTATTGCAATTAAATTATAAATGATTATATGACGTATAATTGTATAACCTTTATTGTTTATAAAATTGTATTTAATATTCATACAATGAGTACTGTTGCATAAGTTGATAATTGATAAATGTGTAATTTATTTAAAACATTATTTATTCGATTTATTCGCCAACGACTTTATTTCTGCTTTGTTATCAATTGTTTTTTATTTTTTTTTTTTTTTTTTTTCAATCAAACGCCAACACTTGTTTAGAAATTAATATATTAAAAATAATTATCGCACAATATGTATAAAATTACGAAAATTATAATTCTATCATTAATATAGTATAATTTGTGTGTGTGTGTGTGTGTTTTTTTTATTAGAATATAAAATAGAGTACAACAATTAGATCTAAATATAATTATCTCTTATTTTTATAATATATTTATACGTGTTTCGTATTTATTAACTTAAATAAAATGGTATTTGATGAAAAGCTTAGACTCGAACGTTATCTTAATCTTTATTAATGAAAATCTTAAAATATTACAGTTACTAATTCATTTTCATACACTTATATACAATAGCCGTTCCGAAAATGTACGGCGTAATTTTTTATATCATTTATCCGTCTCTTACAGTATAAACTATTTATTTATTGTAAATCAAGTGATAATTTTTTATACTCAAGCTCTTATCGATAAAAGTTCGCGTAACATCACTAAATACGTTAACAGAATAAATAGAAGAACTCACGAACACACTTCTTCAACCGATCCTCGTATCTCTTGATCACCGTCCTTCCGAACGACGAATTGCGGATCATTCCAGTACTGCACATCGCCGCTCCCGTAAACCAGAAATATAACATTAGTAAGGAGTGCGACGGCAAACAAAATCCAAAACACCAGCCGCCACTCTCCCAGAGTCTGATGGGGCGTCATTATGCCAATGATGTAGGGCGCGGCGATGCCCGTGAGTGCCGATAGGCCATTCGTCATAGCCATGAGAGTTCCGGCGTAATTAGGACTGAGATCCAGTGGATTGACCATGACGCTCGGATAAGCCGTGCCCATCATGGTCATGGCGACGGTCAACATGCCGACGACGAGGACGCGATCGCAGCCCGCGTAAGAGGCCGCGATGATGAAGGTCGCCGAGACGGTCAGAGCTACCACAGAGCCGAATTTCCGCACCTTCGTCATCGACACGTTCCTCTTGGCGATGAGGTAATCGGCGAGCCAGGGACTCGTGTTCCCGCCGATCCACATACAAAGGTAGGCAAGGGAGGTGAGGTAGCCGTTGTTTGCTACCGAGAACTTGAGTACTCCGCTCATGTACTTGGGCAAATCCGTGATTATACTGAGGATGGACCAATTGAAGCCAATTAAGGCGATTATCACCGCCCAAAGGGGTTTCGACACTAGGATGTGTCGCCAAGGTACCGCCGGTGGCTTCTCGTGAGTGTGCTCGTTCATTCGTTCTTTCAGATAATTCACCTATCGCAAAAGTTCTAGTGAAAAAAAAAAATTGCAGTTCTCATGCGTTAACTCACGCCATTAACATTATCTGGCTTAATTCTTCCATGTATTTTTTTTTTTTTTTTTTTTTTTTTTTTTTTGGAAAAATAAACACAACGATAATAAAGAAAAGAAATTTATTATCAAAAATCATAACGATAAATTGTACTTTCATATTAATCGTTAGGACTCTATACGTATTTGTGTGGATAAGCAATGAATGTCGATAAATATAATATAGTTTTAAATAATTTTTTAAAGCAAACTTTACATTTTTTACATAAACTAAAGATTTATCGATAAGTAATTTAATTAGTTAACAATTTAGATGATTCAAAATTTTAGGTATCAAGGGATATGCAATAATTATGGATAGTCATCGAGGTTTGGTGTAGATGAAGGATCATCTCATTTAAATTTCACTCCAATTTACCTCTTATATCGTCCTTGAAATTCAAACGGCAAATTTAAGATTTTACCGTCAAATGTTTGTATACTGTAAAAGCTTAAGACTTTTAAGGTAACTATTTATACGTAAATAGGAAAATAATAGAAGATAATTTAAATAAGACTACTATTCTGATATCATTTATTAATAAAATCATTATTCGAATCTCTAACTAATCTGTATCTAATCTGTAGTCATTGGTAAGTGAGATAGGTGAAAAAAAAAAAAAAAAAAAAAAGATAAATAAACAAACAAGATACTTAACCTCTTTTTCGGAAATGAAGGGGTGATCTCTGGGGCTATTGTAACACGCCGGCAACCATATGAGAAACCAAATGATACCGATTGTACCCATGACGTAAAAGACCAGGGGCCAACCAATGTCCGAGTACTCCAAGATCCAACCTGATACCGTTGTCGTAAATATAATACCGATCAGCGCTCCCGCGTATACGAACGAAGCTGTCCTGGATCTTTCCTCGGGTGGAGTCCATTGGGCTAGTAAAACATTGATAGCCGGATAGGTCGTCCCTTCGCCCAGACCCATGAGTATTCGCAAAATAATGAGGGCCGTCGAATCGCCCCTGTATACGGCAAAGGGCGTTAGAAGGGTGAAAACGGCTGTGAGAAGGATCCCGAAGCCGAGGGTATGTTTACCACCGAATTTTTCAGCAAGCATGCCACCTGGAAGATGCGTTACAACGTAGCCCCAGTAAAAGGACGAGAGGATAAGACCCTGCGAATAAATTTGATATATTATAGGAATGATGCATTTACTATTTCATTATTGTCTCAATTGGGACTGTCAAAATGTTGCATAGAATATCACGAGAATAATGAGCTTTGACGTCAAGTTCAATGATAAATTTCTGTTTCACGTCGACACACACACACACACACGCACGTACGCACGCACGCGCACGCACACACGCACACGCACGCACGCGCACGCACGCGCACGCACACATATTTATTAATTAAAAATTCTTGTCAATTTACTAATCGACATTGAAATGCCATTTTCGCGAAGTTTAAGTATTTATCACATTATTAGTCAGTAAGGATGAAAATAAAAATTTTCAAAACTGCGTAATAATATTAATAATCTGCTTATCAATGGTATTAATGAAATATTTGAGTTTAAATTTGACGCTCAAGCGGTATATATCTCATTGCTTACTTAATAAAGATAAGCTTGGAAAAGAATTTTTTAGTTAAATAGTACGATTTAAATGCTCATTTATCTCTTTTTTTTTTGGTCGAAATTTCGTAATAATTTTATAAAAATGATTGATAAAAATGAACAGATTTACGTGATATACAGATAATTGGTATATTCGCTGATAAATAAATACTCGGAGGTATGATTTAAAGAATAAAACAGGGCCAATTCACACGACCACTTTCATTTTATACAATTATAATATACTTGCACATTGCTTCTTTCATTCTTTCTGATAAACTATTTTTCACCGTTGCTGTAAATCATTACTTCTAATTGTTCTTTACAACGTAAGATTCTCTTTTCAAATTTAAAATTGTATTATTTCATATTAAGAAAAAAGCACTTAGCGTACCTGGGTATATTCACTCCAGTCATATATTCCTTTAAAATGTTCAGAGCTGCTGTTACTATCGTTTTTGGGTAATTTCACATCACTAGATGGACAAGTATCGTGAAAAGTATTTTCAGCACTTGTTGTTGGCAGTGCCATTTCCGTAATAGCAATCGATAGACACCCACGCATTGCGAATGCATTGAATAATGCCAAGAAGCACATTATCGCAAAGATCCATCGTTGTGGAATTTTCGCACCTTGATAATAGAAAGAAAAAAAAATTTTATTAATTATTTATTCAATTAATTAATATAATATTAATGTGCTTACAAGATTCTCCTATATCAGCGAGCATTTGAATTTTAATATAATTGCCTATTTGATTGAAAATAATTCTGCTTCACTTTACGAAAACGATGTTGCGTTTTAAATTGTTTCATCACTCCTATAATACTGATTAAGTCTTAAGAAATACACGTTTATAAGAAGTTTTTATATGACTTTGATGTGATGGAGGAGGGAATAGATAAAATTTTTACTGCATGTAAATTGTGACCAATATACACAAATTTACAAAAAACAAATACATACATTCTTGTAAATTACGTAAATATTAATCAAGTGAATTTTAATAATAAATTATTATATAATGTAAATATTGTATTAAATATTTAATATATAGACAAAACATTTTATGAACTATTATTATATCTATAAATTTTATTTCAATTACTTTGCAATGCTCAAATACATATATTTCCCCGATTTTCTTAATTAAATTCTTGAACAAAACTTAATTACAAAAATAGAAAATCTGAGATTTTATTTATTCTATTACATATAATGGAAGAAATATATAAATATATATATATATATATATATATATATACATTGGATTTGGAATTTACTTTTCCATAAATTTTTTTTTTTTTTTAAGTAAATTTTACTAATCCTTTAAATTTCTTTAATTCTATAATAATAAATTCATATATTTTGCATAATTATATGTTAAGTTTGTATTTTAATTGTATATTAATTTTTTAATAATAATTTTTTAATTATTTATTTTATTTTATATTTTATTATATATATATATATATATATATATATATATATGTGTGTGTGTGTGTGTGTAATTAAATTTATGATATATTCATTTAAAAAAGAAAAATCGTTTAAAATTTTAATTTCATCCGTATTTTTAGCAATAAGACTTGTGCAGAAATTATAATTATTGTCTTACGCAAATTATTATTTTTTCAAGCTCATTTATACACATTCACTATTTATATTTTTCTTTCGAAATCATTAAAGATTTTAATTATATTAAATCACAATTTAACGATAATATTGTAATTTTAATTGAAGGATCGTTTCGAAATTGATAAGTATTTCTCGGAGTAGAAATAATACGTATTACATATAATTTATTTTATATATTTTGTGCTTTATTTTATATTATATTGTATTTATTAATTGTAAATTTATTAACATTTGAATTAGATTTATTTAATATAACAAAATTTAAAATGTACAAGATAAAACATATTTTATTAATTTATATCTCATTGTAAATTGATTATATTTTTCTTTTTAGAACAATTCTCTTTTAGATATCATTACAGCTGTAATAATTTCTTTCATTATATACAATTATTAACGAATATGATTAAATATTACAATGTAGTAAAAGACTATACAGAAAAATGTCTATTTTAAGAAAATAAAAAGCCGAATTAATAATGGATAATTCATTATTAATTATAAAATTAGTTAAGTTTATTCGTATGAAAATAAGTACTATTTTTAAGAGTTGAGTGAAAATTCATTCATTTTATGTAAATCATGCAGTTTGATTAAATATCCCCTCTAATGATTAACAAAATAGGAATTATTTATTATTACATTATAAATCAGAATGCGCAGTAATATATTAAACCATATAATTTTAATAAATTGCACATTTAATCATAATTTTCTAATTCACAGATATGGTAATACAATATCATGTTAAATCATTAAAGTAAGAAAGAAGATTGAAAAATTGAATTTTCTTTAGTTTGCAAATTACAAAATTAAAACGGTCATTAATGTATTCTATAGTCGGGAATATATTTCGTATGAGAATAGAATATATTTTATTAATGAAAATATTATTTTTTTTATATGACAAGGGTAAAATATTTTCTTACACACACACGCGCGCGCGCGCGCGCCCGCGCACGAGAGAGAGATGTGTATAATAAATAAAAATATAAAGATTAATAGAGCTGTAGTATTGTTGCAGTAAAATTTAAAACATTAATTTATTTGATTTTACACGCGAAGCATAGTTTATCTATCGTGAATGGACTTTACGTTAAAAATAATAATTTACAATCAATTTATCAAAATTAATACAACACTATTTATTAATTTAAATCATATTTATAAATATATTATACATATATTATTTTTGTGATATTGAATTCGACGTTCTTGAATGATGGAATGCATTCATATTTTAAGAGTTTATACATCGTGCAATACATATTTCAACGAAGAGGCCAGACATTTTCAAACGCAAAGAAAATAAATACGTCTATATAAGGATATTTAACATTTGTACTAATGAATAATCTTTCGTAATTAATGCGTCAAAATAAATTAATATATTTTATCGCTTAAAGTACGGAGTAACATTTGCATGAGCGGGAATTTTGAAATCCTCGGAATAAGTCAGACCGAATGAAGAAGCAGCAATTAATGTGAGATGGTCCAAAGTCCAAAATATTCACACTGAGGCTTTTATTCTTAGTCCATGTCCGGACGAAAATAGTAACAACTGTCAGTTCCATGGCCGACACTTCGATGGGTGTGCACACCATCTCTATTATATACGTGCGAGAAGAATTTTCTCTTTACATATATATTTCAATATTATTTTCATGTGTATTTTTATTGTGAAGAATTACATTCGGCAGCTTTGACATATATTCTCATAAGATAACAAAATCGATTTATATTGATTAGTGAAGAATAGTGTTTGTAATGTTAGTTTAATCGTATTTGTATTTTATTATTTCATACCGGATATTAAGTGATACGTTTGATTTTGAGTTTGTAAACATTAGCAAAATCTCGTGTGCCGATTGCTGAATCCGAGGATAGATATTTCCATCCAAAATCTTAAAACATTATAGGTAATTCTCTTTAATTAAATAGTAATTAACATAATAATTATAGGCTCTTTATTATTATTGTGTTGGTACAATAGTTATGATTGGTTTAACGTATAAGTTGAATTATGTTGTTATTTGCTTTACTATTGGGCGTGTGAAGCTTCGCATCATTAAATTTTTAGTTTTTTCGAGTTTTATTAATATAAGATTTACTAAACAATATTCACTTTGTACTTAGATTCAAATGATTAATAGATAAGAAACTTTAGTAGGTTTTAATTTCACGAAAGCCGAACAAACTTATAAATTTAAATGACCTATAAACCAATTAAATAAAATATATATATTATTAATCGTTAGAAAGTTGTGTTTATCTAAAGATAAGTTTTATGTAAATAAAAAGAAGAAGACACGAGGTCAGATGAATATTATTTACTCAGAAATAGAATATTTAAAATTTTCTTCTAAAGAGTACATAAAAGTTATTGCTAAAGTTATTATTCTATAAATTTTTAGTTTTCAATATTAATACAAATTCATACTTTTGTCTTTCTCCAAATAAGAGAGAACGTTTATAGAATTATATTTAGTAAGGAGTATGATGGCTTGATAAGAATTAAGTCAGCAATGTTAACTTAATTAAGTATTCGGTAAATAGTTTCTCACCATTCCTTGATCTAAAATAGGAATATTTATAAAATTTTTATTCCATTTGAATGATAAAATCTAAACAAACTAAATGTTTTAAATATTGTTCTAGGTTTAAATATATTTATAAATGAATAAAAATAATATCATATAATATCAAGATATTAAATATATGAATTCCTATGAATTCTCCCACCCGATCATCATTATTTATATTATTTATATATTTTTTCATTTATAAAAAAATTTACACAAATTAAAAACTGACATAAATTGAATTTATTTGTGATTTTTGATATTTTAC